CTCCCAGGACAGGGCAACTGGCAGTAGCCATCCCAGAGAGGGGCTCACTGAGCCTGGAACTCACAGCAACTGTGGGCTGGCTCCAGTTAGTGGCCACCAGTATCAGGGTGAGGCGGAGCCAAGTTCAAGGCAGCAGGAAGTTGAGTCTAAGCTGGCAAGAGAAATCCAGTGTTGCAGGCTGAACAACTCAGGTTCCAGCTTCACAGCCAGAAACCAGCCTGAACGGCAGTGGACCCAAGGCACAGGCTTGCTGGGATTATCCACTGCCCCACCAGAAAGCCACGGCCGGTTTCTTGGGATTCACTGACACAGACCTGGACTCTGATGTCCACTCTGTCTACTGGTGACAGCACAGCCATGCCCTGAAGGGATATTTTTCTTATTTTCTTTTCCTTTTCTTCTTCTTATTTGAAGGTGAACATTATTTCTAGTGTTCTTCTTGTTCTTATTCTGTTGTTCTTATTTCTTCTGCTTTCTCTCTTGCCAGTTTCCCTAAATTTGTGTAATCTTCCTTTATCCTCCCCCTCCATGCTTCTAATATCTTCCTCTTCTATTTTCCCCCTTAACTCCTTTTACATATTTTACCTTGAGGATAAAGTTGCTATACTGGAGACATTTTTATTGTATACAATTTTCTGGTCTTTTCTTATATAACCACAAATTTAGTTTATATAAAGGTGGAAAATTAGTAGTTCCCACAGTTTATCATCTTCTAAACTATGTTTGATACTATTGTTATTGCTGATTGTATTCCTTTAGGGGCCAGGGATACAGCTCAACAGCACAGCACCTGCCTGGCAAGCGCAAGGTCATGAGTTTGATCCCCAGTACAAACAAAACAAAACAAAACAAAAACCTGTTGGTACCACTTTAGCCAACGTGATATAATTGTTCTAATGAATTCTTCTTCATATTCCCATGACATAAGGGTCATAAAAAATATTCTTGGCCAGTGCCAAACAACCAGCAGCTCAGCCAAACAGGAAGCAACTTATCCCAAATAAATTGAAGAGGCAGGATCTTGCAGCAGACTGGAAACCCAAAAGCCACTACTCCTGGAAGACAACTCTGAGGAGCAGCTGTTTCCTAAGGGTTCTAAGTACTAGCCAAGAAGCTACTTGCCATGAGCAATTTATAAGCATCAACCCAAGGAGTAAACAGAAAGACAGACAGGCAGACAGACAGAGAGACACTTAAGCAAGATGCAAACCCAGACTTGCAGCTCACCAAAGGCAAACCCAGAGGACAATGATGCAGAACAATTCAAAAGTCACTGGCCAGGACTCTCTGAGGTGGTGGCCACAGCAGTAACAAAACAGATGAATGAGGCTCTAGGAAACAATCAAATTACAGAGACCATGACCATAATGAAAGACATGGTGAGTACTCCAGAGCAGAAATAGATTTTTTAAAAAAGTGCAGCAGATAAGGAAAATGTTGGCTATCATAAATGCCCAACATAGGAAAAAAATGGAATCCATGAAACATTCAAACAGATACTCAGGAGGCTAAAAGTTCCACCGAAACTATACACAACAGAATGAGCCAATGTGAGAACAGAATATCAGATCTAGAAGAGCAGATTGCAGTTAGTTAGCATGAAGATTTCTTAAAATTAGCAAGGGACCATGAGAAATAAATCCAGCAGCTGATAGATGACATAAAAAACAGCATAAGATTGATCAGAGTCAATGAAAAAAGCAGGCAAGAGTACAGACAACATAAAAGAAAAAAAAGACTTGTTCACAGAAGTGATGGCAGAAAACTTCCCAAGCAGGAAAAAGATTTTCACAAACAGATGGGTGAGACATTGTCCTAAGTTACTTTTCTTTCACTGCTCAAATTTTGAACAAATGGACTTAACAGTTATCTAAGTATGCCACTCCACAATATCAGAATACACATGCTTCTCAGCTGCAAATGGGAAATTCCACTAAGCAGACCATATACTAGCTCATAGAACATGCTTAAGTAAATGCAAAGAAACTGAAATTAACTCATGCTTATGATTAGTCCATAGTACAATAAAACTGGAAATCAGTGACAAAAGAAAACACAAGAACTTCATAAATACATGGAAATTAAATAGTACCTTGCTGGCCAACCAAAGGATCACAGACAAAATTACAGTTTCTACAATTAAACAATGCCAATACAACATACTTATGGAAAGCAATCCTAAGAGGGAAATTTATAGTGGTGAATTCCCAGATCAGAAGAGCACAAGCTCAAATCAGCAACATAATGAACCTTAAGCTTCTAGCAAAAGAAGGTCAAGTCAAGCTCAAAGTGCGTGTAAAAGAGGAAATTATAAAAATCAGAGTACAAATTAATACAATAACACTAAGAACACAAATCAGTGAATTAAAGAGTTAGTTCTTTGAGAGATTAAATAAAACTGACAAGTCCTTAGTCAACCTTAACAAAAAAAGGAAAGACTCAAATCCATGTAATTAGGAATGAAAAGAGTAAAATCAAAATAGATCCTACAGAAATCCAAAAGATCACCAATACCTACTTTGGGAGCTTGTATTCTAATAAGATAGAAAACATAGCAAAAATGCATAGATTCCTAGAAACATCTGAATTACCAAAGATGAGTCAAGAAGTTACAAAAAATTCAAAATAAATCCAATATCACTCAATGAAATTGAAGATGTAATTAAAAACCTACCAACAAAGAAAAGCCCAAGACCTTACAGATTCACTGCTGAAATCAGAAACGACCTAATGCTGATACTTCTCAAACTCTTTAATGGAAATAAAAAGGAAATTAAAAATGAAAGTAATGAATGAAAGTAAAAAGGAATTCTCAAATTCATTCCTAGAAGCAAGCATTACCTGATACCAAAATCAGAGAAGGATCAAACCAAAAAAGAGAACTACAGGTCAATCTTCTTAATGAACATAGATGCAAAACTTCTTCAGCAAGACACTGGCAAACAGAATGCAGCAAATCACCGGATTTACTGATTATACAGCAGTACCAACCAGGATTTATCCCAGGGATGCAGGGATGGCTCAACATACATGAATCAACAAATATAAGATACTGTACTACAGAGCCAAGACAAAAATCACATGATCATCTCAAACAGATGCAGAAAAATGAATTTCAGAAAACTGGAATAGATGGTTTTTACCTCAACCTGATAAAAGTCATCTATGACAAACCAACACTCAACATCGTACTAAAAGACAAAAATTGAAAGCTTCCGGTGTAAAATCAGGAAGACAAGGATGCCCATTGCACCACTCCTATTCAATATAGTTCTGGAAACACTAGCCAGAGAAATTATACAGGAAAAAGAAATAAAAGGAGTAAAGATAGGAAAGAAAAAAGTTAAATCATCATTACTCACGGATGGCATGATACTTTACAGAGAAGACCCCAAGAACTCCACCAAAAGACTGTTAGTTTTAATGAGCCAATTCAGATACAAAGTCAACACTCAAAATGCAATAGCATTCCTGTACACAAATAACACACCTCACTGAGAGAGAAATTAGGGAAACACCTGTCACCATAGCACCCAAATAAAATGAAATACTTAGGAATCAATCTAACAATGTAGCTTACATTGAAAACTATAATACTCTGAAAAAAAAGATCCAAGAGGCATCAAAAAATGGAAAGTTATCCCTTGTTCTTGGGTAGGAAGGACCAACATAGTAAAAATGGGCATACGAAGTTGTTATATGGATTTAACACAATCCTGACCATGTTTATAGCTGCACAATTTATAACAGCTGAGTCTCAGAAACTACCTACCTGCCCAACAGTGGAGGAATAGATAAAGCATAGATAAAGATAGGGTTTTTTACACAATAGAGTACTACTCTGCCTTTAAGGATAAGTCATGTGAAGTCCTGAGTTTGACCCCTGGTACAAAAAAAAAAAAAAAAGGATAAACCTGGGACATTTCCAGTTAAGTGGCTGCACCAAGATCATTCTCTTAAGGGAAGTCAGACACACATGTGTAAATACTGCATGGTTTCTCCAGTATGAGAAACCAAAAGTGCAAATAGGGACCAGAATGTATAGTAGATATTGGGAAATGGGAAGAAAATGTTCAAATGGCAAGGGGAACAAAAAAGGAGAAGAAAGAACAGAAAAGAAGGGATAAGAAAAAAATAGAAAAATGGGGAAAAAATAAATATTATGCCATATGACAATAAGAGACATTCATAATGATAATTTTAGATTAGAAAGAAAAATATTAAATCCATTGGTCTGTTTAAAAACACAGGAATGAATTTTTAAAAGATTCTTACCAAAGATACAGAATTTAAAAATCTAGCACTCAGAGGGCTTTCAATCACCTATCTGAAATCCTCACTTTTCAGATTAATTACAAACCCAGGTAATTGAAATTGCATTACATGTAAAGATAACATACAAAAACAGACCTTTTTTTTTTTTTTTTTTGAGACAGAGTCTTGCTATGTAGTTCAGACAGCCTTGAACTCATTATGTAGTACAGGATATCCTCAAACTCCCAGTGATTCTCCCGCCTCGGTCTCCTGGGTGCTGAGATTATAGGCGTGTACCACCATACCCATCTCAAAAGTAGACCTTTTCCATTTTTCTAGTTAAAGAATATACAGGCATAACATTTTTATGATCTATTTAAAATACTAAAGACTCAATTAATGAGTCGAGATATAACCAAATATTTCAGTTTTTAAATTTAAATTTCTTATAAAAATCTTCTCATATTAAAAGTACTATAACATAGTTAATGTCTTCTAAAGTTATAAATATGTTTGATAAAATAGCCAACTAAGAGAAAAAAAAAAAAAAACAGTTCTAAATGACATGAAAGTTAGTACAAGATTTCCTCTAATTCTTTAAAAAAATCGGCGACGGAAAATGAAAAAATACTAATTTTAACATACCACAGCCCATGCTCAATTACAGAGACATTAACAAATGTGATCTTAGAAATTTAAACAGACGAAACAGGCATGAAGTTAAACAGAAAAAATAAAATACTAACCTTTATTTCCTAACATCACAGCAAGATGTAAAGGAGTGTTTCCTAAAATTAAAAACAAAAATTAAATTAGAAGTTGTAACAACATAAAAATGTTCATGTCACAGTGGTTTTGGTTTCCTCAGAGAGCTCACTGGCAAATCCAAAGTCAGGGAAGCCCTGGCTCCCAAGCCCCCAGGAGGATACGTTCTACCTTTGGCACCCTTTTCCACACTGATTTCCGATGCTCCTAGCTGCTAATTGATCACATCAATCTTTGCTCCTTTGGCAAACAATTTAAATATCTATTAATCCTTTACATGGTAATCAGTGAGACTCATGGCAGTCCTCAAGTTATCTAGAACTCTTAGAGACTGATATGGAAATAAAAGCTTATTACAAGAAGCACAGAATGGCAACAGAACACAGAACAGAGCCCCAAACTCTGAAACATGCTTTAAGGAGTGAATCAGACACGTCATCCCAACACTCAGGAGGCTGAGGCAAGAGGACTGCTGTGAGTTCAAGGCCAGCGTGGGTTACTCAGGAATACCCTGTCTCTGAGAGAGAGAAAGAGAGAGAAAGAGAGTCATAGAGAGAGCGCGAGCAAGCAAAAGAAATGTGTAGAGGAACAAAAACATTATCAGTAAGGAATCCAGGCTAAAGGAAAGGAAGGGAAGGGAAGGGGGGGAGGACAGAGAAAAGGTCCCAAGCCCCACGGGAAAGGACAGTGTGTAGGTGGGCAGTGCACAGTGGAATGGGAAGACAAAAAAAGGCAGTGGAGACCAGGAAGCCTGCTGCACAGTCTGACAACACAGAATGGTTTCAAAATGACACCAAGCAGCAACCTAGCAAGCTGTGATTACATAAAAAAGACCACAGTAATTGAAAATAACTTTGTTGAATAAAATTCATGCACATTAATTAAGAAGTGAGTCGTTTTACAGAATTCTCTGTATAAAGAGTGGTAAGCTGACCATTATGAAAGGGTCACATGCACGGTAAAACAGGCTGAGCTGCCCTTTAAGACATGTGTGAAATCCTCCCAACATTTTACTGCGACAAAATCTTTCGAAGCAATGAGCACACACCAGCCAGCCAGCCAGCCAGCCAGCCAGAGATACTGGGGATGAAGCCCAGGAGGCTTCACCACTGAGCTATACCCCTGACCCTTTCTATTTTTTGAGAGGATCTCACTTAAATTGCCCAAGCTGGCTTCAAAAATGCAATCCTCCTGTCTCAGCCTCCAGTATAGGCAAGGATCACTGAGCCCTGAAACACACACACACACACACACACACACACACACACACACACACTTGCTCCTGAAGGTAGAATGAAATAAGAATCATTGGCAACCTCTGCAAGATGCCACTTTGAGTAAAACTTAAAGAACAACACAAACAAATTGGCTAAATTTAAAACAAAAGGTCAAGTTAAAAAAAAAAAAAACTAAATTGCGGCAAACCTCTGGATCTTAACCCTTAGGGACAAAAAATAAGAAAGGTTTAGAGATATAATTCACATTATATTTTTCAAACCCATTTTTTAGAAGTTCCAATTTCTACAAGTCACTAGGCCGGTATGAGACCTGGCATTTTCAACACTTTCTAGTTGATAAGGAAACTACAATACAAATTGTTAACAACTGTGCACTGGAAAAATGTCTCCAGGAGAGAAAAACTGCTCACAATATTATTTAAGAAATGAGTCTAAACAGTTGCCTAATTATTTTTATAAGCTATTTTAAAAAGACAAACTTCAACCCTCCTGAAATTTCAAGTCCTTTGTTAAGCGTTAGAATCTCCTCAAAGTGCTATGATGTAATGTTCACAAAATTTATCTGGGTAGGAATAATACAAGGCAAATAAAAAAAGCATTTTTTGTTCTAGAAAAGCATTGTTCATGACTAGCGTAATATGGAGTACATAATGAAGAAAACACTTTCACTGAAGGTATTTTTAATATGTAAAGGTAGTCAACTCACTTCCTTTTGTGCTTATACTGAAACCAATTACCTATTTCAGACACTAAAGAAACTTCATGTCAATATTTCTATTTCTCTTTTCAAAAAACTGTAAAGTGGGCCAGGGGTTTAGCTCAGAGGTCTAAGTGCCTGCTTGGCAAACACGAGGTTATGAGTTTGATCCCCTGTGCCAAAACAAAGAAACAAAACTGTAAAGTCAGGAACTGACTCATAGCTGAAAGTTTTTAAGTCAAGGATTCAATAAAGCAGTTTTTCTGCTACTAACATGTTGCATTCAAACACTGAGGTGAACAAAACACTTAGGAACAATTTTAAATAGAATCATCTCTCAGGTGTGGTGGTGTACACTTATAATTCCAGGACTCGGGAGGTGAGACAGAAGGATTGCTGCAAATTTGAGGGCAGCCTGGGCTACAAAGTGAACTCAAGGCCAGCCTGAGCTACATAGGAACTCCCTGTCTCAAAAATCAATCAATCAATCATCCATTCATAGCAAATTAGGAACCATCTGTGGATCAGTTTAGTAAACTATTCTAGCTTTCAAGATCTTCAGCATAAGACAAAGAAAAAGATGTATCAACGTAGGTTAGTATCAATTCCCAAGTAAACTATTCTAGCTTTCAAGATCTTCAGCATAAGACAAAGAAAAAGATGTATCAACGTAGGTTAGTATCAATTCCCAATCGACTGGTCTACAATGAGGTCTCCTTCTTCCCTACAGAACATTATAAACTAGCCAGAAGTGGCGGTACAAGCCTTCAATACCAGCCCTGAGGAGGCTGAGGCAGGAGGATCATAAGGAGAGGCCAGCCTGGGCTACCCAGTCCTTTTTTTTTTTTCCCCTTTTTTAAAATTTTTATTGGTACTGGAGATCGAACTCACGACCACCTGCTTGCAAGGCAGGTGCTCATGCCACTGAGCTAAATCCCCAGCCCCACCCAGTCAGTTTTGAAGGCCAACAGGGAGACGGGTCACAAAAATCCAACCCACCTCCCCCCTCAAAACAACCTAAACTTCCTAAGCTTGCATTCACATTCTGACAACTTACCACACAAAAATGGAATTTAAAAAAAAGTAAAATTTATGCACAATTCAGAGCTAAAACAAGTTTTCTGTGCCCTAAAGTGTATGTTCACACAGTGCTATGGTAGCTCAACACACAGGGCTGTGGGCGCCTCCAGATCCAGCTCTCATCACTGCCCTACAGCAATACTGCAATTAATTTTACAATAGAAACCGGACAGCACTACACTGCTACTTCAAAGAAAAGAATTAGATCCTCCACTTTTGTCACTTTGTCTTTTCTGCTACTGGGCCTTGAACTCATGACCTGGTGTGGTGGCACAGGCCAGGAACACCAGCACTCAGGAGGCTGGGGCAAGAAGACTGCAGTGAATTTGAGGTCAGCTGGGCAATACAGTGAAGTCGAGGCCAGCTTGCATGACACAGCCCTGTCTCAAACAAAAGCATTTACAAAGAAATGAGACAACTTAACAATCAACCCTAGTAGCATCAACAGTCTGGAATCCTGCAATTAAAATGCAATAGGTAGTAGCTTTTATAAGAGTTGCAAACACCAATACTTCTATAACTTGGAAACTGCAAATGTTTTGGTGGTTTGTTTTCATGGAACTGAGGATTGAACCCAGCGCCTTAACTCTTAACTACAACCCCAGCTTTTCCTTACTTTGACTCAGTATCTCTCTAAGTCACAAAGCTGGCCAGTCTTGGTTAGAACTTATGATCCTACTGCCTCAGCTTCCCAGCATTCTGGAATTACAGGCAAGCACCAGCATATCCAGCTTCTGTGAGTCTTTCTTAAAGTTTAGACTAATTTATAAAACCATGTAAGCCCAGAGTTTCCTTTGAGACAACAGTTTTATTGTGGACCCACTGTCTTTAATAATTACAGTGTACTTAAAGTTTCCTGTTGCTGGGAAGGGAAGCCCCAGCCTTGCACATGGCAGGCATAGACTCCTCACTCCAGGTCCCTAATCCCTGTTTATGTTCATTCTGACAAATTAAATATTTCTATCATCAGCTTATCTAACTCTTCATTTACTGGCACACATTTTGTTCACAACATTCTAGTGATGCACTGACATTAAAATTTATTCTGAGACTCTTCATTCCTGACACATTATTTATAAGAGCTTTCAATCTAAAGTTCACCGATGTTACCTCCACTTTTCTTCAAAGTACAGCTTCAATTGGGGAGAAAAAAAATGGTGGCTTGCTAGGGGGCTGGGTACAGAATCTCTGTGGAGAAATCAGATCAAATGCTGGAATAGGACAACATGGAGAGGGTTAGACGAATGGATAATGATTCTTATTAACCAAGGCAGTAACCGAAGGGAAAAATGAAACTAGGAAGAGAAAGGAAAAGCGCAGGTGGAGAGCTGAAGCCAGACATGCTCACTGAGCCCCATTCCGCACTGTACTAGGTGCCCCCGGAGGATTTAAGGTCGCACTGAGACCACAGCTGCCGGGACTGGGAGTCAGCGAATCCGACTCTTAACGGGAGGATGTGGTGCAGTGAGCAGTGGATCCAAGGGGAAAAGCTATGTTGGCTCTCGGCGACCGCTGGAAATTAAGACCTGGGGCTCCTCGAAGTAGCCAGAGCAACCTGGCTGCACCAGAGGAGACTGTGAGAAGCTCCGGGCTCCAAAGCCGGACACCGTGCAGTTTTCTGACCAATCCGCGCTGTCCTGAGAATGCAGTGAAGACACTCAGCACAGTATACAGTGGACCCAAGAGGAAGATCTGCATTGATTCCTGGTGAGTGCTAGGGACTGGGTCCTACAGCTGCTGTTGCTGGCTGGAGGACATCTTGGAATTGGGCAGAGCCCGGTGCCTCAGTGACTTCAGATAGTCACCCCTGGTGCAGAGAAGTCTGGTAGAGGACAGCTTGGATTTGGGCTGAGCCCGGTGCCACAGTGACATCAGATAGTTGCCCCTAGTGCAGAGAGAACTGGCAGGATCTGTTGGGGCTGAACTACGACTCTGGTTGGGACCCAATAAGCAGATACAAAATTGTCGCGACTCTGTGACATCCAAAAGGTACAGCCTAACTTGTGGA